AGGATTTAGTGACTGTCTTCTAAGAAATAAATGAAAAAGTGATGGCGTATGATTTCTGAGACTAGGTCATAAGAGACACTGCAGCTTCCATTCTAGTCTCTCTCTTGACTCACTCACGCTGAGTGAAGTCAGCTGCCATGTCAGGAGGATGCCCAAGCAGCTCTGTGGGGAAGCCCAGAAGGGGAGGAACTCCGGCTTCCTGCCAATAGCCAAATGAGTGAGTGATATTGGAGGCAGACCCTCCCACCTCAGCCAGGCCTTCAGTCAACAGCTTCATGAGACTCTGAGCCAGAACCACTCAGCTAAGCTGCTCCTGGATTCCTAACCCACAAAAGGGGCAAGATTTTTTTAGGCTGCTACATTTGGGGGTAACTTTTTACACAGCAATAGATAACTAATACATAGTGTTGTCCCATCAGCAAAACCAACAAATCCTCACAACTCCATGCACTAAGCATACTATCACCTTCGTTTCCCAGAAGAGAGCACAAGCTCAGAGAGACCAGCTGGAAACTTCCTAGACTGGTATTTATTTAAACTTCACTTCTTTCAAAGGAAGGATCGAGGATGCTCAGCGATAGCAAAACACCTACTTGACCAATAGTAAGGAAAACAGTACATATGAAGCTGAGATCCAAACCGTAGTCCTCTGATTGTAGACCCCATAACCATTCCATCATTCTGTGATGGCACACGTCAACTCCGGGGTCCTAGTACTGATCCAACGCACAGAACACACAACAAGGCCACGTAAGGACAGAGCACCGAGGTCAACCATAAAGCACTGTGAGAGGTGCTGATTGTGCTGGACAGGCACTGTAAAAGCCATACTGAAAACCCGTTTCGTGGACTGCGGTGGCAGGGACGGCCTTATGGAGGAACCAGGCCACTATTCCAACTAGGTTCTATGAGGGCTCAGTTAACCTGTGTCTAACAACTCCTCTGGCGAAATCACTGGGCGTTGCCTCTGCAGATACAGACATAGAAGACCCGGTCCCGTACATGGGAGTGTGAGCTCTCTGGCTGGAGTCACTCGGTAAGAATTTTTTGCATACCGACCGACTAGAATCCAGGCACTATTATAGGCACAGAGACACAACAGTGAAACAAGCAGACTTGACATTGTGGTCAGAGAGAACCAACCAAGAAGATAAAAACAGGAGTCAATATTTAAGATGCCTGGTGGCGTAGGTGCTTGGAGAACATGAGAGCAGGCACAGAGAAAAGAGCGTGCTGGGGTTGGGGAGACGTGGCTCCCTCGGGCCACAGAAGGGCACACTGATCCAGTGACGACTGAGCAGACCTTGGCGGAAGTGACAGGGAGGGAAGGAACTTTTCAGTGGAGGGAAGTCCCTCAGGGGGATGGACAGTGTGATGGCAGAATGGTAAACGGCCACTGTGCCAGGAAGGAGTGGGCAAAGGGGTGGAGTGGAGATAAGGTCAGAAAGGTGGTCAGAGAGAGACAGCCATTGGCAAACCGGGGGCCTAACGCTGAATCAGACGGGAAGCCAGGTGAGGGTCTTAAGCAGAGGGGTAATATGACTGCCTGATATTTGAAAAGGACCACTCTGGCTGCTCTGCTGAGGACAGGTCATATGGGCTGGGGGACAAGTGCAGGCAGGCGGCCATGGCAAAAACCAGATGAGAGATGAGGGTGGTGGGAGTGGTGAGGTTGCAGGAATGTCAGACTATGGATGTTATTTTGAAGAAAAATTAG